ATATGACATTGCAGATCATTCTATGAATTCTGTTACTTTTTCTTTAAAATATGACCTATTTTTAACTTAGGTTTTTTTTTTTTTTTTTAAGAGAAGGGAAAAAACTGGTTCTTGCCTTTGTTCACTAGGAATGATAATCTAAGAACAACCAGGGATCCTGCAAAAGTCAGACACAACAAAGTTTAAAATGTGTGTGTATTTAGAGAAAATTCAGTACAAACAATCTAAGACTGAAGTTTCGGTATTCCTTACCATTTCAAACAGCAAATTAGTTTAAAAATATGTAAAACTGTAGAATCATGATCTCTTCCTTAGTTTACTTGTAAGGAAAACAATCCTGATAAGTTTCTCTAATATGATAATAACATCTAAAAGTACCATTTAAAATAAATGCATCACTTCATGCAGAATATGAGTGACAGCACTAGTAAAATAAGCCAAGTTATGAAGTGAAATAGAAAATAGGTTTTATCTAAACAAGCAAAAACATATCAACAAGGAAAAGACAAAAAAAAAAAAAAAAAGCCCCAAGTTCAAAAGGGAACAAAAAGTGAAGTAATAGGGTCTTGAGAAAATGTACCTGGTTTTCTCATGTTAAATGAGAATATTCAGAGCACCTGCCCCCACAGGGTAGTTAGGACTAAACAAACTCATGAGCGGAAAACACTAAAAACAGGCTCTACACTCACACTGAGTGCTCAGGAAGCATTAGCACTAATTTTTATTACTATTGGCAAAAACTCATGCTATTAGGCCATCTCGTGCTTCCCACCCAGGAAGCCAAACACGGCCTCGAAGGAAGTTCGTTCTTGTGAAAATCTGGGCTGCCAAGAAATGACAGCTCTGCTTCTCAGAGGAAGGACACTGAAAAAGCTCCCCAGCATGTCTAAAATCTGGAAGCAGTCAAGAGGGGGGGATCAGAGTTCCTGCTGTGTGAAGGGAGTGCAAGCACCTGAGAAACAAGCTTGCTCTGAATTTCCAGAAAGCTGGACTTGGACTTCACAGCGGGAGCTATGGAGGAAAAGGTCTGCTCCACGTAAGAAAGATTCTCTTACATCAGAAGCATCCACCTTGCGAAAGGACAGGCTACCTTGGAAGGCAGTGTCCTGTTGTGAGTGTGAACGCAGGAAGCTTCATCCATCAGGGAGGATACAGAAAAGGTGCCTCAGTCGGTCCAGGCCGGGTGACAGTAATGACAATCAGACCCACTGTCACAGCAGCAATGGGGGGTGACCCGTGGGCAGAAACCGCCCAGCACGCCAAGCGCTGTGCACAGTGACCCACGTGCTCTGCGTCCTTAACCCCTACAAAAGGCTGCCTCCCTCTGGGCTCTGGAATCCTGGGCAAGTGAACCAACCCGCGTCCCACTTTCTCATGAATAAAAGGAGGTAACCGGGATAAGGACTAAGGGCACTAATGCATTTGGGGAGCACCTAGAACAGTGACTGCCACACGGCAAGCCTTCCCACCTTTGTTACATAAAGGTCCTCACAACTTCTAAGAAAAATGTTTATGTAAACTAGGGAAGGGATCAGAACTCTGTCTCTTTCAGCGCCAGAGAGTGATCTGCTACAAACTATCACCAAATTAAATGGAATTCAAGGCTTGCACTCTGGGCTGATTCTCTGAACAAAACTGACCATGAAAAATGGGCAAAACTGCTAGACAGTGAAGGCACATTCTCTGCATACTCTGTTGTGGCCGATTCTAAGGTAAGACCTTGAAAAAAACGCCCCAGTCCACTGCTAACTCCTCTGAGCATGCTCAGTGCCTTGGCCAACCATTCCAACTACATTTTCAGCAGAAAGGTGACCTGCTGCACTCACTGAATTTATCTAGTACCCACTTAACCAGCTCCCAAGCCTGGTCCATCCAACTGCAACCTACCATGCATGTGTTCTAAGACCTTCGCTCAGCCTGCCTCCCCTCTCTCTTGGACCGTTACACTTGTTCTACTACCTATAAACAAAGTCATAAAGAAAAAACCTTCTCAGTGCTATTTCCCTTTTGTGTTTTGTCTCCCCCCACTCCTCCAGTCCTTTTTGTCAAATATCTCAAGAGTGGTCCTTTGCAGCAGTTATGTAACTGGCTGAGCTGAGAAACGCAAATCAACGGCAGGCAGCCTGACCCACACTACTCTGGATCACAAGCTGTCTTTTACGTATCCTTGAAGGTTCTGACACCTGACAGTCGGGTTTTGTGACCATTATTTTTTCCATGTACACTGTGTTCTTCACAAACGTCATAAAGGAAAACATAACACAGAAACTTATTATCTATGACAGACTGTACCTTAACTGAGTGTTGATATTTGCCTTAGGACTTCTTGCACAAAGTTCCCAAATTAGCAATATGAAAACCTTAAAAAAGGTTTTTTTTTTTTTCTGAAGCGTAATTGCTGTTTGTACATGAGCTAAGCCCATATAATCTAGGGTAATGACTGATTTTATGAACAATACTATTATAATGCAAACTGCCCTTAATACAGATCCTTATCTGATTGAAAACTGACCATCTATATAGAAGAATGAGTTTATAGAAATAAAGGTTTCCATACCTTCAAGGAAAATGATCTGATAAAAGGACCTAAAAGAGGAGAGAATATAATGTACGTAAGAAAACAGGGGTCGGCATGGTGGGATAGCAGGTAAAGCCACCCCACCTGTGACGCTGGCATTCCATATGGGTGCTGGTCATTTCCCGGCAGCTCCACTTCCAATCCAGCTCCCTCTTAAGGGCCTGGAAAAAGCAATGGATGATGGCCCAACGGCTTGAGCCCCTGACCCACAGAAAGGAGACCTGGATGAAACTCCTGGTTCCTACTTGACTCAGTCTTGGCTGTTGTGGCCATTTGGGAAGTGAACCAGCAGATAGAATCTCTTTCTCTGTCTCTCCCTCTAACTCTTTCTTTCTTTTTTTTTTCAAGATTTATTTATTTATTTATTTGAAAGTCAGAACTAGAGAGAGAGAGAGAGAGAGAAGAGAGGCAGGCTTCCATCCACTGGTTCACTTCCTAATGGGCCGCAACAGCCGGAGCTGCGTCGATCTGAGGCCAGGAGCCAGGAGCTTTTTCCAGGTGTCCCATGTGGGTTCAGGGGCCCATGGGCTTGGGCTATCTTCTACTACTGCTTTCCCAGGCCACTGTAGAGAGCTGAATCTGAAGTGGAGCAGCCAGGACTCAAACCAGCACCCATATGGATTACCAGAACTGCAAGCAGCAGCTTTACCTGCTATGCCGTGGCACCACCCACTAACTCTGACTTTCAAATAAATAAAATCTTTTTTTTTTTTTTTGACAGGCAGAGCAGACAGTGAGAGAGAGAGACAGAGAGAAAGGTCTTCCTTTTTGCCGTTGGTTCACCCTCCAATGGCCACTGCGGCCGGTGCACCACGCTGATCTGAAGGCAGGAGCCAGGTGCTTCTCCTGGTCTCCCATGGGGTGCAGGGCCCAAGCACTTGGGCCATCCTCCACTGCACTCCCTGGCCACAGCAGAGAGCTGGCCTGGAAGAGGGGCAACCGGGACAGAATCTGGCGCCCCGACTGGGACTAGAACCCGGTGTGCCGGCACCGCAAGGTGGAGGATTAGCCTAGTGAGCCACGGCGCCGGCCAATAAATAAAATCTTTAAAAAAATAAATTAATAAAGCAAGCCAGACAACAAAGGGAGGAAGAGGCAAAGGCCGGAGCTTTCAGGAACTCCTAGGCTGTAATTAATACACATGGTTTACTCTCGAGAACAAGCAGCAGCTGAAGGGCTTTAAACTGGCAGATACAAGGATCAGATCTGCAGACTGAGAAGCACGACCTTAGCACTCTACACAGAACAAATGGGAGGCCAAGCAGAGGGAGTGTGGCGGGCACAAGACTGCTTCAGAAGCCAGACAAAAGGACCCAGAGGCCTGGCAAAGATGGAAATAAAAAGGCAGATTCTAGAGAAGGAAATCATAAAGTCATGATGAATAATTAGGTATGTAGAAAAGAAAGGTATGGATGATGTGTTGGTTAACACACAGAAACATGAAAATGTTGAGTTAATACATCTTGAATGACAGATACAAATTGTTAAGAGTTACCTACAGCTAGGGAAGATTAATTTCAGGTAGCACAAGGCAGACCCTGCCCCTGTTATTTTTTTTTTTACTCTATAGCTATGCACATTGTTGAAATACTTAATAATCAACAAGTATGCAATGCCTTCATAATTACATTCACATGTAGTAAAGAAGACAAGCACTGACCTGGATGAAAAGATCAAGAACGGCATTTTAGGGAAAAGGGACCACCTATCCCAAAGTACTGCCACATCAAAGAATATGGGCCTTGTAAAGGACATCCAATAGTCTAGTGTTTGCAGAGCAAGAAGGAGAAGAAAAGTGAAGCTAATTTAGAATATGGCCAGACCACGAAACATTTTATGTACTAAGCTACAAGCATCATTCCGTGAACTGTAGGCAACGGGGAAGCCCATGTTTACAAACAGGAAAGTAAAAAACAAATCAAGTTTGTATTTTAGAAAGATCACTCTAGAGGCAGTGTGAAGATTATACCAAGAGGCCGAAGATAAGCAGAGAGATCACTTACGCAAGAACTCAAGCTATATCAAGAGCATTATAGAGAAGGGGAGAAGTGTGAGATTCATTTCTGGAGCAAAGTTGATACGCCTGGTGCTTAAGTTGGATGTGACCAACAGGGAAAAGGGCAAGTCAGAGAGTCTACCTTAACTTCTAGTTTGGATGATCTGAAATTAGATAGCTACAGCATCACTTTAGGTAAGGCAGAAATAGGTAAGTGAGAAGATGATAAAAAAAAAAAAAGTTTTGTTTTGAAGATGCTGAAGTTAAAGTCCATCTGGAAGCAGGTCAAGGCACCCAATAGGACACTGGATATACTGATACAGGCTTGAATTTGAGGAGCATGGACACTGTTACCCACAACAGAATTTTAAACTGTAGACACAATCTTACCCTTAATATAATTCACTGAACCTTGAAGCAACTGCCAAGAGTTGACCAGTTCCATTTATTCTCACAGTAGTAAAAATTCCACATAGTTGTTAAAGTCTTCGGAGGCAGTAACTTTAAAACGTTAAGTTGGGGCTTTCGCCTTGATCTACGGAATCTCCTGCTGCACTCTTTTTGTCTGTGTATCTTTATCTATCTATCTAGTTAATATATGAGGTATTAAAGGAAGTACAATATAAAAAAATTGTGATTCGTATTTTCATTGTAAAAGGTAAAACCAAAATGAAACAAAAAAACACCCATCATTCCATAATTCTATCTTTAACAAAACCTAAGTTAAACAATGATTTATCTGTGACACTCCACTGATCTTCTCTCACAAATCATCGACTCTTGGTTAACTGACATCTCCAAGACAGTTGACTCCAGCCCCAGCTTTAACCAATTCACAGTTCCGTTTGTTGCTGTCAGAAACCTGATTCACACCGTACCTTTGCCTATCCCATGGTGCCCCAGTTTGGTGGAAGGCTGGGAGGAAGGACCTGTTGACAAGGAAACAGCCACTCTTCCCAACCAAGGGGAAACCAGGGATGGGACAGATACACAGGGTACACAAGCAGCAAAAAACTTGCTCCGCCTACTCACTGGCAAGAGTTTTCAACCCGAGGCACAATGGGTATTTCAAAGCACATCAACGAATTGACGGAGGGCTGTCTGCCTGGAGGCTCTGAATTTCAACCAGACTTTCCACATTTTCTACATTTGAAAAAGAACTCAGCCTCAGCCTATTCTACAGCAGGATACAACTGCAAGGCACCGTCCCATTTTACTTTAGGATTACACCCAAGAGAATGTACTTTCTGGTTAAAAAAAAAAAATTCTGAATACTAGCTATATTTGCACAACCTACCAGAATTACTATTAAAATGTCACTAGAAAACATTTTTCTTCAATGTTTTACTTGGATATAATTTTAAGACTTGTTGCAAACTTTTCTGAGGTGTTCTTTTATCAGTCCTCCTCCCATCCATTTCTGTATCCAGGAAAACCCACTAAGGATTCCTGGGTAAAAGAGACAACCACTGCATTCATTTTAAAACTAACATTTTTTTAAAAGCTGTAAATAGGTAAGTTATCGTTCTTTATCAAATGGAAATTAGCAATCACTGAAAAATAACATTAAAATTAGTGTGTGCATGAATTATGGAATTTTTAAAACATCAGTTTACTATGCTGATTAGTTCAACATTTATATTTTCATCAGAACTTAATAATCCCATAAATAAATAGAGCTCTCAATTATTTAAAAAAATCAAGGGATAACATATGTATTTAGACATATTAGCAGCGTAAAGATGTATGCTTCAACACACTTAGGGGAAAAAGTCCAAAAATATTACTACACTGAATTCAAGGGCATCCGCAGGAACCTGACATGAGAGGTCTCTAGAATAACAACATTTCAGGAAATCCCAAAAGAGGAAAAGGGTCAAATAGGAAATAGCCTCAAATTAATCGACAGAGTTCAGTGCTTGCTCCAACTTGATTTCTCTCTCTCCTCTCTCTCCATTGCAAAAAAAAGCCCACAAAGTCTCAGGACGAGCGGATCACTTAGATGCAAGCTCATCTACAGGGATGAACGGCGAGGCTGCCTGGGCAGGTGACACGGGAGAGTCGGCGGCAGTGCTGGCTTTCGCTGGTGAGTTGCAGGAAGATCCCGCACTGCTGCTGTTTCCGTCAAGGGTATCCGAAGACACACACACCCCGGGATCTGACAGCTGTGCAACGTCGGAAGAAAGCATGTTGGTGATGCCCTGGAAAAATCTCTTTGGCTGATACTCAGTTTCCATTTCACATTTTCTTTTCAATGGTCCAAGAACACTTGGTCTAATGCAGTTGATGGGACTCTGGCTTCTCCGGGTAGTAAATCGGGTCGTTGGGCTGGGGATAGGGCTCGGAGGCAATCCGTTGCTACTCACAAAACTTTGCAAGGATGGTGAGAAACACTGCTTCCCAATCCCCCGGGTGGGTGACGGTGCTGGGGACACCGGAATGAAATCGATGCGCTTCGGGGAGGCGGATTTCTCCACGTCGTTGTCACTCAGGCTGAAACTTTCCTCCCAGGAGTGGCTGATCTGCATTGCGGTCTGCACCTCGCGCTCGTGGACCGTCTCTCGGTTGATCAAGTCCATGCCCTCCTCCTGTTTGATTTGGTGCAAGCGGCTGCTGTGCATGCGGACGGGGGAGGCCGGCAGCAGCAGGCCGTGGCGGCTCGGGAACGTCGTGCTGTTCCGCCTGGCGCTCGGCGCCTCGGCCTGGAACACCGGCGAAGTGTCACTGAGGCCGTGGATCAGGGGGGCGCTGTTAGACCTCCTAAGGCCCCCGCCGCCGCCACTGCCGCCGCCCTCCGCCGGGCTCCCGCCCGTACCCGGAGGCAGCTCTAGGTCCAGCTCCATCTTCTCCTGAGCCATGTCGGGGGCAGGGAGGCGGGGGCGGTGCTCAGTCAGGGCCCTAGGACTCCCATTCCCCGCAGTCCAGGGCCGCCGCCGCCGCCGCTGCCACCCAGAATCTGTCAGCGGGCCCTCCCGTGTGCGCATGCGTGCCCCTTCGCGCAGGCGCTCTGCGCTATCTGTCTCCGCGGCGCCTGCTAAGTGCGTAATCGCTGCGCCACAGGCGCCGGGGGGAGGGGCGGCGAATGGTTGGGCACTGGAGTGTACGTTCCTTCCGCGAAGAGCTAATTGGGCGCGAGCTCCTATTAGCGCATATTGATAGGTTTACGTTCAGGAATGCCTACTTAATGAAACGAACATAAGCTCTCAAAGGGCCTTAGTGATGTGGGGTTTTATGGCGGGCAGTGGGGCTTGACCGAATCAGGGAGGGCTTTCCCCAGGAAGAGGCCATCTCCCGAAACGCGAAGTAGAACGCTAAGTGGTATGGTGTAGAACCTTCTAGGAAGCGGGCAGCAGGGGCTACGCAGCCAGCTGCCAGGCAGGAACCAGGAGGGGAAGGGAGGGGGCGTGTGGCCCGCAGTGAAGACTGACTGGGAGCTGGACAGGCTACGGTGTGTCTCTTGAGAACAGTAACATCTCCAAAGGTTTTCAAACGTGGGGTTAACAACAACTGACAAGCTCGCTGGCTGCAGTCTGGAGAAAAGATTAGTGGGGGATTAGAACCATCCGGAGAAAGACCAGAGAGGATGGTAATTTGCAGTTAATATAAAACATTTATGTCTCAATTAAATGTATTCAGTCAGTCATTCAAAGTTTCTTCCTGGGTAGCTACTACATTGCCAAGCACTGTGCAAGGAATGGGCCTTTTCAGAGAACATTTCATTTCCACGGGGGTCAAGGGTGGGGGGTGGGTAAATAAATAGGCTGTTTGCTGATAGAGGTAAGCCTTAGGAAAAAACAAAAACGGGATCACGTGTTAAAGCCCAGCTGCTGGGAGGCAAGGGGCAATGAAAGCTGAGATGAAAGGGACGAGGAGGAGAAGTGGTGCAGACGTCTGTGCGTGAGTAGTCCAAGCAGAGAGAACAGCAAGAGCTGAGGCCCATGGCAGCCGTGATCGGTTAGCAGGAAAAGAAAAAAGGGCAGTGCCACTGAAGCATAAGGGAGGGGGGTGAAGGGGAGTGTAAACGAGTCTGGGTTTCCTTCTCAGTCTGATGAAAGTCCGCTAGGGAATTGTACATAGGGAAGTCATACTGTCAGGTTGGTATTTGTAACAGCATTGAAAGAAGGCAAGAGTGGAGGCAGAAAGGTGGTTAGGAACCAATGGCAAAGGCACAGACAAGAGATTATTGGACTAATAAGCAGTGGCCATGGAGAGAAGATGGATTCAGGAGGTTTTGGAAGCAGTAGCAGTAAGATTTGCGGAGAGATTAAATTTAGATGGTGAAAGAAGTATGTCAAGAACTGACTTCATTTTTTTTTACTTAAATTAGGTAGATAGTGTTACTTTCTGAATCAGAGAAGCAACATATTTAGAGGTATAGAAATTACTAATTCTGTGTTGATTGTTGTATTTGATTTGGAGGTGGCTATTAGATAGCCACATGGATACGTGAACTTAAAGACAGTTAAGTCATTTTTTGTCCAGTCCCTTTTTGTTGTTGAAGCAAGATCCAGAGAGGATAAGCACCAAGTTGTTGAGTAAAGGGAACCACTACTAGAATCCATCCAAGTCTATTGGTTTCTTTCAGTCCATGTCTCTTTCCACTACATCTCAGACAACTTTTATTTGAAGTTCCTATAAAATACAGATCCTGTTGTTAAAAGTAATCATTAACTATTCACACCTACAGTTATACAAACTGATTTACATGATTTCTAAGTGCCAGATGCCATACAAAATGTTTCACATCCAATCTCAGTTAATATTCGTATCAGTGGGTATTATTATTATTATTGCCCTTACCTTTCAGGAAAAACAGACACTGAGATTAAGTAACGTCTGCCCCAAGCCAGAGCATAAAGCTGTCTCCTGCAGGCATGCTAGCATTTTAGGAATGGAGGAAAACGTTTCCAGATTGTGCATGGCATTGGGAAGGCAATGTGTCTGAGACAGGGCTCGAAGGATAGGTAAGATTTCAACAGATGACACTCCATCCTGAAGAGGCAGATTATAAAATAGTGAGTAAAGCTAATATATGAAATATATGGAAAAGAATAAGTGACGTGAAAAAAAAGCTGGATATAGAAGTGGGAGTCAGAAGATGGAGTTCTAATTCCAAGAAGGAGTGCCTGCATTTATCATGTGGGGCAACAGGGCTCTTATGCAGATTTCTTTTTTTTTTTTTTTTTTGACAGGCAGAGTGGACAGTGAGAGAGAGAGAGAGAGAGAGAAAGGTCTTCCTTTTGCCATTGGTTCACCCTCCAACGGCCACCACGGCTGGCGCGCTGCGGCCGGTGCACCCGTGCTGATCTGAAGCCAGGAGCCAGGTGCTTCTCCTGGTCTCCTATGGGGTGCAGGGCCCAAGCACTTGGGCCATCCTCCACTGCACTCCCTGGCCACAGCAGAGAGCTGGCCTGGAAGAGGGGCAACCGGGAAAGAATCCGGCGCCCTGACCGGGACTAGAACCCGGTGTGCCGACACCGCTAGGTGGAGGATTAGTCTATTGAGCTGTGGCACCGGCCACTTTTGCAGATTTCTGAAAAGAGAATCACACAATGAGAGAAATGCTTTGCAATCTGCTGTGTGGAGTCAAGTCAAAGAATCTCTGGTGAAAAGAACCAACACTTTCTAAACACCCACTCCCTTCCAAGCACTTCACTCTATAGTCCCACTTAATCCTCATTGCAATCTTACAAATTAGGCATTGTCATGCTCATTTTATAGAGTGACAACTGAAGATCAAAAATTACAAAAGGCCCTACAACCAGTACAAGGGAGGACAAAACTCTGAACCAATCTGAATTGAGGTCTCATTGCAAAAATCTATATTCTTTTTGCTGAATTGTGTAAGCGTTACAGAAGGAGAATCTGATGGTTAATTATGAGATGAAGAGAGGATCTAAAAACAAAGTTTTAGCAGGAGGAGATGGGTTTCAGAAACAGCAAGGCAACAACAGAACCTGACTGCCTGGTGTGCAGAGGATGAAAAGGGAGGTGTTACAAATGAATGAAGTTCTGCTGGCGCCACAGCTCACTCTGCCTGTGGCACCCGCACCCCGGGTTCTAGTCCCAGTTGGGGAGCCGGATTCTGACCTGGTTGCTCCTCTTCCAGTCAAGCTCTCTGCTGTGGCCCAGGAAGGCAGTGGAGGATGGCCCAAGTGCTTGGGCCCTGCACCCCATGGGAGACCAGGAGAAGCACCTGGCTCCTGGCCTCGGATCGGTGCAGGGCACCAGCCGTAGCGGTCATTTGTGGGGTGAACCAATGGAAGGAAGACCTTTCTCCTTGTCTCTCTCTCTCACTGTCTAACTCTGCCTGTCAAAAAAAAAAAAAAAAAAAAAAAAAAAAAACACAAAAAACAAAAAAAAAAACCACACACACAGTGTTGGTGATAAATCCCTAAAATCAAACCTCTATGCCATTTGGTTCTAGCTTGAACATACCTATTAGCTGTTCTTAGCTATTTTTCCTGTTTCTACTCTTGTCCCTACAGTCATCTACCCAAAAGGCAAGGTATTATTACAAAAAAAATTGAATGGTAGTTTTTATGTTCAAAATCCAGAGCTGAAGTTATTACAACAGCCCCCACAGCCCTATTTGATGAGGGTCCCTGCCATCCTCTTGGCCTTGTCTCCAACTCCTCTTCCCCTCGCTTTGTCTCTTCCAGGTGCAGAGGCCTCCATACTTTGCTCTGGCCCTTCCCTCCCCTTCCACTCTTCTCCCAGTGGCTGTCCACTCTGCTCAGTCCCTGCAGGTCCCTGTTCAGGCATCACTGAGAGGCATTCCCTGACACTAAATCCGCCCTGCCCCTTATAAAAAGCAACGACTTTCATTCCATGCCTCTTACCCTAATTTTCCTCCTGCATACCGCATGACATACATGAATGCATTTTCTTTCCTTTCACGGCCCCTTCCCCCCATGAGAATAAGGCCTTTGCTTTGTTCCCTGTTGTACGCTTAGTATCTAGAGCAGGCTTGGCCTGCAGTGCTCAATAACTCTTGTTGAATCACTGTATGAATGGATGGATGGACCAAATGGACCTCTGTTCCAAAGAGGAGAGAACTCTACCATTTGAAGGCCTAGCCTAACAGGCTTTTCTATGCTAATCCTAAGGGCTCCTTACTTTTACAGTTTTTTTTTTTTTTTTAAGATTTACTTATTTTGGGGGCTGGTGCTGTGGCACAACAGGTTAAGCCACCGCCTGTAATGCCAGCATCTCATATGGGTGCTGGTTTGAGTCCCAACCTTTCCACTTCTGATCCAGCTCCCTGCTAATGTACCTGGGAAAGCAGTGGAAAATGGCCCAAGTGCTTGGGCCCCTGCATCCACCTGCAAGACCCCAATGAAACTCCTGACTCCTGGCTTTGGCCTGTTTCAGCCCGGGTGGTTGCAGCAATCTGAGGAGTAAACTAGAGGATGGAAGATCTTTCTCTATCTTCCTCTCTCTCTCTCTGTAACTTTGCCTTTAAAATAAAGTAAATCTTTTAAAAAATGAAAGATTTACTTATGTTTTTATGGGAAAGGCAGAGTTATAGAGAAAGAGGGAGACAGATATCTTCTATCTGCTAGTTCACTCCCCAGGTGGCTGCAACAGCCAGGACTGAGCCAAGCTGGAGCCAGGAGCCAAGAGCTTCATCCAGGTCTTCCTGTGATGGCTGTAGGGGCCCAAACACTTGGGCCATTCCCTACTGCTTTCTCTAGGTCATTAGCAGAGAGCTAGATCTGAAGTGGAGCAGCCGGGACAGGACCCGGTGGCCATATGGATGCCAGCCATGAAGCGTGCAGCTTTGCCCCATATGCCACAGCGCAGCCCAGTTCTTTCTTCCATCAGGAATACTGTTATAATTATAATGCCCCCTGGTCTAAACAGGTTAACTAAGGTTAACATGCAAACTAAGAAACTGAAGTCCCAAATTTCCATTCTTTTTCAACCATATCCTGATACTTAATAGAATTAAAATGCTCAGTGCTGAGTATTCTAAGGAGTGTTTAATATACTGAGTTACTGCTTCCTTTCAAAG